GGGGGGGTAGAACGTCACTGCAATGTCGTGAAAGCTCCCGATTGGACGACACCGTAACCGCTGAGTATCTGTCCAATGAAGCTCTACACAAATCGAAGCATAGAGTCCGCGTATCAGCTGCCCATAAACCCAGCAGCAGTTCTAAAAGCACAGAGAAGCAGCGGCGGCGGCGTACGTGACGGGCGTGCGAGGCGAGCGCGGCTGATCTTCGCCCCGTGACGCCACGCGCGGCAATTGCGTCGCGATCGACGCTGCTCGCCCAGCCGATTCGAAACGCAAGTCAGAGTCCCTATCCGCCGACGTCTCCTGCTGCTCACACGTCTAGCAGGGAAAAGGTTTCAAGCGCAGGAGCAAAAGGAGAACTTAAGAAGGAAAAACGGAACAAAGAAATCGCGAATGTGCTAGCGGAGAGAGACAAATGCGAGAGGCAGAAGATACACGGTTTCCTCCACTATATCGGCTGTTGTAAATGTGGAGTTAAAAAATTCAAAATATTTCAATGTGTATGACATTTATACATTCATTTCCTTGAACTTGTTATTTTTTATTGCTTACATGACTTTGTACCTTTACTTTAACCAGAATAAATCCCTCAGCTTCCGGATATAATAATAATAATAATAATAATAATAATAATAATAATAGCCCCCCTTGTCGCAGACTGTAACGGAAGCCGTCGTCTCCACCGAGGAGGCTGCAGGCGTATTTTTAATTGTCTCTTCACCCCTCACCAGTATCCTATCACCCCATAATTCACAATTCAAGGCGTAACAACATTGTCTTATCAAGGGATACAGCCGTAAAAAGCTGATCCCTATAACCATACACGTTAATCTCTCTGGGGCCTCGGAAGAAAACGTGTAGCGTGGTCATAAATTGACGATATAATAATGATGAATATGATGGTGATGATAATGATAATGATAATAATAATAATGACAATAATAAAGGGCACCGTAAGAGTTTGGCGAGGGGCTGGTGGGGGCGTAGTCGAGAGGCGCCCAGGGCCGTCGGAAGAGCGGCTGCGAGGACGTCCGGTGCTGAGCCCGGCGGTGGACGGCGGAGGCCGCCTGCATGCAGATGCGCAGCATTCCTGCGCCAATGGACGCCCACCCCGCCACGCCGATCAGTCTCCGTCACACGTTCACCCGCCAGTCACCTTGTCCGATCCCAGCCGCTCCCGCCCGCTCGCGTACTCGCAGTCGTTCTCGACCGATCCAGCCAGCTCGCGTATTCGCACTCGCTCTTGACCGCTCTCGTATTCGCACTTGATCTCGTCCGATCCAGCCCGCTCGCGCGTTCGCACTTGCTCTCGACCGCTCTCGTATTCGCACTCGTTCTCGTCTGATGCAGCTCTCTCACGCATTCGCTCTCGCTCTCTATCGCTGTCGTTTGCTCGCGTATTCGCACTCACTCTCGTCCGATCCAGCCCGCTCGCGCATTCGCACTCGCTCTCGTATTCGCACTCGTTCTCGTCCGATCCAGCGCTCTCGCGCATTCGCACTGGCTCTCTATCGCTCTCGTCCGCACGCGTACTCGCACTCGCTCTCGACCACTCCCACCCGCTCGCGTACTAACCTCCGCTCTCGCCCGCCCCGCCTACTTAGACACCGAGTACGCTTGTACCCTCCTGGACCAATAATGTGATTCTCGCTTGATTTAATTAGCATTTAAATTGACAAACCAATGGCATGTCAGCAATGGGCTTTCTCGTAGAAAGAGCCCCCAGTGACCTTGATTAAATCAGACGCGGATCCACGGGGAGGCAAATTTCCCCTCTAAAATATTTCAGCAACTATTAATTTTACTTGCCGGTAAACGTCCAAGCAAAAATATTTTCCGATAATCATTAAAATGAATAAAATCGTATTGCAGAAAGAGCTAAGTGCAGCCTGCAACATTGTACTTTTTTTTTATTTATTTATTTTTAATAACGTTTAAAAGGTTGCATTTTCAAAGGAGAAGATCGTGGCAGATAATTTCAACACGTACAGCAATAATTACTGATATAAAGAAAAGGAAAATTTGAAACTCAAAACCAGTAACGTCGCCCATCAATTTTTCAGTTCTCCAACCCGACCACCCTGCAATCCAATCGCCCCGACCCGCCTCATCGCGAGCATTCGTCAGCGCGCTATGCTAAATCCTCTGGGCGAACGCGGCAGCTGCGAGCGAACCGCCCCATTTTGTCGTCGCCGTCAGCCCAACAAGGCAGAATGGGCGGGACGGGCGTGGCGGAGCCGGGACGGGGCTGGACGGGGCAGGCGGGGCNAAGTGGGGCGGGGCGGAGTGGGGTGGGGCGGGATGCGAATGGGCGGGAATGCGCCAGGAGCAAAACGAGTCGGCGACGGACGGACGGACGGTTAGAAATCTATTAAAGGATTAAACGACCCCGCGCACGAGATGAATGAGGGCTCAAACCGATGAGGAATTAGAGAGCAAAACGAAGCGAGGACAAAAAATTACGTGAAGAATGTTAACGCGGTTTTCTTCACGACGAACGAGAAAAAAACTAAATCGCTTCTACGTGGACACAGGGCAAATAAGCCCAAAATGTATTACTTTGGAGGATATAGCTAAATGCACTTGGGATTTAATTGTGTGTTAAACGACATTAGTAATTATTCACTTCAGTGTGCGCGTGAGTAAAATATTCTTAGAAAGAATTACGTGCAAGATAAAATGTGATAGCAGAAAATAATATTTAAAACGTTATGAGCAATGATAAAATTCTCCGCATTAATTCATTAATATTAAGCAGCTATTCTAAATTCTCAAAATCAGTACGCAAGGTAGATAGAATTCAATTCTACCCTAACAGTAAATTTCATTCTCTCTCACCTCACAACCATCTCAGATATCTAATAACACGTTTAAAATATAAGGAATTCTCCGGAATGCATTACGTTCTTTTCTACGACCGCAAATCGGGAACTCTTAACATTGAATTACCTGCATTATCTCCTCACCCTTCTCTCGCGACCTTTCCAGCACCAAATGGCACTTGCTCAGTTGGGGGTCAATAGCCCGACGGAGGATCCGCACCAACCCGCAGAGCTCTGCAAATGGCCGAAACGCGCCTACAGGACGCGCGCAACGTGTCAGTCTGTTAAAATCTTCTACTAAAATGTACACCAAAATGCCATGTACACTAGGTATTTGATTCAATGATTGTTGATAATATATTGTCTCAAACACATCTATTACTTAGAGTAATGTCAAACTTACACCAGTGACAATTGTTAACTTTTTCATTCGTTTCTTTAAAATAAATTAAAATGGTTGCCATTTTCAAAGGGGTAGATCAAGAAAGTTGATCTAAACAGGGACTGTATAATTGTTAATATAAACAAAAGGATGATTTGAAAAGTTAGAGAAAAACAGAGTGGTCTATGAGATATTTAATTTAAAAAAATGTACATTATTTTTACCTTCTTTTTTAAGTTTAGAGAATTTATATCTATTGCCTAAAAATTGATTCGGCTCTAGATGGTTCTATGCCTCATTCAAAATAATCCTACTAACACACACGCCCTATCAAATATTATATTTTCTGTGTTAAAATGTCGGTACACCACTGGACTTTTCAATACAATAACGTTTATTCTTTGCTCTGAAGCGGGCGATGTACAATGGATATTTTTATCATTAATAAAATTGCTGGAGGTATCATACCTTGTAAAAATTCATTAAAAGAGGATATCTAGGTACAACTATTTTTATTGATTACGAATTTTTCGATCAAATAGCAATCATCATCTGAATTTCTGAATTCGCACCCTGTATCTTCGTATTTCTCAGAACGAACCGGTTCGTGCATCTACAAACAAACCCTTCACTCACCCACCCTGTTTCATTTTTGGCCAGCGGGCGAATTTCTCCTCCATTCAGCCGACTGTGCGGCGGCGGCGTCCGGGGGCGGGCCTGGGTTCGCGGCCCGACCGCATTTCGCCCCCGCCGCAGCGCATCCCACCGCGCGGTGAGTCACGCGCCGCGCCGATGTCTGGTGGAGAGCCCTCCTTCCCACCCGACCTCCGCAATAACGGGCCCCCGCTGGCTGCACCCTCTTCAAACGCCTCCGCCGACGCGAGATGGACGCCTCGCCGCGAATTGGGGATGCGATATCGAAGTCGATGTTCGTAAGAAAACGTCGATACATTACAATCCATGTTTTGTGCTCGATGTTTTGAAAGTGCATGAAAAGTTTAAACCCACGTTTTGTGCTCAATGTTTTGATAGTGAATGAAAAGTTTAAACCCATGTTTGGTGCTCGATGTTTTGATCGTGAATGAAAAGTTTAAACCCATGTTTGGTGCTCGATGTTTTGATAGTGAATGAAACATTTCCGTCATCACAATTTTGTAAAAGTTAAAATATGAAATAACTGTGGTACCATTGTCAGTTTGTGTGTACCAATCAAACGAAAGATTTTTGTACAATCTTCACCGAGTGCGCAATTGTTCTTATTACTTTTTTAAAAAAAATGTTTTCTGTTGAATCTTAATTATAAATTAATAAACCGATCGCTGTTGAATTAAATTTTGTTGCGCGCGAATGTAATGATAGAGATCATTGTTAGGGGTGTAATATCTAGTAACATCAATTTTTTTAAAAATTTTATTATCGATATCGCTTCACTACTTGAGATGTCTCGAATCGAAGACTTCTTCTTAACCAAACGTGTGGTTGCAGAAATAATATGAATCACGGATTAGGCTGTAAGGCTGTCAGAAGGTATATGGCGATCTGTGTAAAGTATTAATTTCGTCACGCCTTTCCAACCAAATGCAGCTACTTTCGATCATCCAGATACTGCAAATCTGTGGCAACAATATCTAGTCACGAACTAAAGTATACAATCAGGTGCAGTTTGGACAAAAATGGAAGCATTAAATGAATAAGAGAAAAATCAATCAATCCCTAGACATTCAAGGAGAAAGATGCACTTTCTAAAAAGTTATTATTCATCATTATATTCTCACACGTCGTAGGCAGCATGTATAATAACGGGTCCGCGGCCTGATGGATACTCTTGATGGGTTAAAGACCTCTGAAGGTGCTTGGGATCTAGTTGACAGAGTGATTAAGTTAAAAAAGAAATTTAAGTGGAACTTTGCAACATCCGAAATCGCCACATGTGCAACTTGTTGCTTACAACATCTTCCAGCATGTTCGAATTATTCCTAAATTAAAATGTGGGAGCGGGGTAGTGAAATCAAATCGTTTAAAAATGCCATCATTCTTATATTTTCATCAATTACACTTGACTGCAATTTGTGTATTCCATATTTGTGAAACGAGTATTAATACATCAAAAGACTGAGGGATATATACAAAATATTCAACCTGAAGCAAAATAGAAATTTTCATTGCGATATGTTTAACCGTAGTAACAAATCCAACAAATTTTTTATCAACAACCTTTACTGTCACAGGAAACATCGAAATGATTCTACACAATTTGCCATTACATCAACTCTCGCAGGAAGCTAACAGCAGTACTTCATTGAATTCGCAGTTACCGTGACACAACAATATTTCATGCTCATTTTCATTCAACTGTTTTCGTGCCCAGATAATCAATTGTTTCTTCTGTTGCCGGATTTAATAAAACATTGTGAATGACATCCTTCCAGGATACATACGTACCTCGAAAATTGATGTGCCTGTCTTTTTTCTTTTTTTTTCTTCTTTCATCATCAATCTTTCTTTAAGTGAATATTTACAGAACCAAGGGCACTTACAAGTGCAAAGTATATCCCAAACAACAGGACAAATCAAGAAAATGAATCGACAGAAAAAGGGCAGTGAAAGAAGCACCAATGAAAAAATGAAATCTGAACACATTACATGAGACTGCAAATCAAAACAAGACATACAGCTGTTAGACGATTTAGTTGATCGTCCTTGGAATCAGACATGGCAACATCAGCATTATTAGACCAGTTCTCGCCAGAAATAGAAAGATAATCGTCAATAAAGAAGGCAACCCATCGCCAAGGCGACCAGCACCAATAAAATATGCTCCAGAGAAAACTTAACAACTCCTGATGGCACAGAAGCTCACAAAAACAAAGAGCAAGAACGTCCATCCACCGAAGAAAAAAAAAGACGCCCGCTCAATTACACCGCTTAGTCAGTGGTGTGTCAACATCGCAGGCGGCGCCGGTGCATCAAACGGAGACCCCCATCTCCCCGTAACGAATGGGGCTCCTCCGATTTAATATGCATTAACGGGCGAATTACAGCAGATCCTCTTCACGTCGTTGGGGATTAGAATTTCCAAACAGTCGCCGGTGCGACCCGCGCAAGTGAATTCCGACGCGCCGTCCTTAATGCATGCAAAGTGGCCCCCACAATAATTTAAACGAGGGGTTCCAGGCAGGGGATCTGGCGCCTCAGCGCCAGGCGATATTCACAAACATGGCGTGCAAGCCGCCACAGACTGTAAAATTTCTAGACGCTACAAATCAGGTTGAGAGGTGAGGATGAAACTAAATGTGATGAATTACACTGTGTTGCGAAATAAAATTGGTTCACGGCATTGGTCATTGCAGGTAGTTGTGAATTAGGTGTTTGAACGTTTCGAATACTTAATTTCTTCAACGAAACGGTATCACAAATAATTGTTTCTCTACTCACAATGACCATTCCCGTGAATCAATTTTATTTTATTACACTGTTGTCTAACACAGGATCAAACAAGGCTTGTCATCAGAATCTGCTGTTACCAAGATGGTCTAAACATGCTTATGCATCGATATTTATAAGTAAATTGTCACGAATTGTCACGAAGTGTTTTATCTCCACCCTTCATCCCATCGTTAAAATATCGCTGATCGCATATAAGAGCGGTGAATTCTCACGAATGTAATGCTAGTTTCCGTGGCTCAGCTGGTTTCGAGATGTGCCTGGATAACAGAATGATCCAGGTTCTGATGGAAAAATCAAATATTTACATTTCGTGACAATACATTTTCATAGACGTTCTTGTGTGGTTCAAAGGGTATACATAATATTTGAAAAACTGATATTTGATCATTTGTGAACAAATATTTCATATGCAAATCGGCTTTCCAATAGTTTAAAGCGGGTCCGAGCAAGGGGTCTGGCGCCTCGACATTCAGCGGTATTCAGAACTCCAACGCGCAAATCAGCAGTGACGAACCGCAAAGATATGCCTCAGTCACTCGTCAATTGCGTGACAAAGACCAGCGCGGTCCACAGAGTAGACGCCAATGAGCTAGCTTCCCATCCTTGGGTTCCAGGGTTCAAATCTTGACCAATGGACGTGGTATTTCTGGTGAACAGAGCGAATGCATGAGTCTTTACTTCATTTTTTATAGCATACTACAATCGGATATTCATTGAACAATTCATCCATTCCAGATGTAACAAAATGTTTAAACGCTGGATACATAATTAAAACGTAAAGAAGTCAATCTTCTCTTATTCAACTGTTTTAGATATTTAAGAGATCTAAACAATATCCATTGCACTGGTATGTGTACAAAACCTCTAAACATATTTAAATCCAAAGATAATATAACAATTTCACAGTTTGGGGCATCAACTATCTCGTAACAGGCGATATTCGCAACTCCAACGCGTAGAGCCCTCTTGTTGGACAAGAAACAAAGGAACTGCTGAGCCACCTTCAAACGTAATCTTGAATGCGCAATGACATGGAACATTGACAAATCGAACCTCCGTAACTCTTAATTCATAGATATTTCTATTTTATTTGAAGTTTCACAAGTGGGTCTTAAGATGCACGATGACAGACAAAATCAATTGGATATAGAGAGCCCGCCTACTTCCAAAAAAAAGGCCACCGGTTTAGGAAACTCGCTGAATAGTACGCGATTTTTAAGCCCCAGCTACTCCTCTAGTGCCCTGTACATTGGCCGTAACAAGTTTGTTGTTGAGGCTGTGATTTCTGAATAATGACACTAGTCGTTGCTCACTAGTCGCGGCAGTGCGGGCGGTTTGTGAAACACGCTTCCCCTCCGAGGTGGGCAGGGTGAGTAATGGCGTGCGTGAAGATGTAAATGACCTCTTTACCATCACACTCCCGCTATCGCGAGGGAGTTGTAGAGGCAAGTGCTTAGCAGTGTTTCAAGGAGCGAGCTGGATATTCAATGTTGCTGGGTGTAGGGACAACTTCAAGTAAATTTTTTCTCTAAAATTGGAATAGCTGAGTGTTCATAGATCGACCGCTTAATTTACATCCTGTAACTACTCCGTGTTTCATGTTTACAAAACGATTAGTAAAACGATACGAAAATGTATGAGGATCAATGAAAAACTTTTATACCTTTTAAAACTAAAGTCAACATTCAAATAGCATTCCTATTATTTGTGAATGTACACCAAGCTAGTTTTTATGATAAATTCAGTTCTCCACTGCCATTTATTTTGACCAAAAAACCCAAATAACGCACATGTGATTAAAAATATTCCTTCAAAAGGAAATTTATATTTTCTGCAGAATCGCGATCTCCTACGATCTACAAATTTTAAGAGCCAAGTTCTAACACCAGCGAATTCTGATACAAAATTATGTACTTCAAAAAATCCGGATGGCATAGCAATACAATGAAATCAACTTCACTAACAAAAGCTCTGACTGAAGCCTTCACTGTCAATCTCGCTCAGCGAGTAAAGACTTAGCTCGCTTCTAAAGTGCGATTTGGCAACAATTCCAGTACGTTAGCAACAATATTTAAGTTATTATTCTCAACACAATTTTTGAGATTAAATATACTCTTCTATAAATTGGGTGACAAAATTATTAGAATTCGAGAGCTATCAATAAAACAAACTTAACATATTAAACTAAATTTTGGAAATGATG